AACAGCGAGTCAATAGAGCAACACATACAGTACTGTACTACATGTATATGATTTTTTTTTTTTTTTTTTTTTTTTTTTTAATGAATATGTTTGCAAAAATCCGCGATGCACTGAAGCCACGATAAACGAACCGCAAAATAGCAAGGGATTACTGTACAGCAGATCCCACTGCATCCACACAACCCTCAATCTTGGGCAGTGACATCAAATCAGTTTTAGTCAGCATTAACCTGTCTATAATCTGTGACAAACCTGGTTTTCTACCAATATACATGGAGAAGCCCAACTGGAATTTGAAAACATCACCAGCCCATTAGCTCTTCCAGTGGCTCTTAACCTTGTTTGAGGTACTGAGCCCAACCAGTTCAAATGTTCACCGAACCCTTCAGTAGTGAAAATATATATTTGAGATTTTTCACAAATTCAAGACATAAAAAAAACATTTATTAAAACCAGAAGAAAGTAATGTGTTTTTAATTGTGCACAAAATGAACCGTGCATGACATACTGTACTATCACGACAGTCACACATTGACTACGGAGCTAACAAAATTTCCCGCAGCACTGATTGGACAAGGAATGTAATGTGATCATCTGCAGCCAGTGATGGTCAAGCGGGCGTGCCATAACTAACTGACATGTTGAGTCGCGTGTGTCTTAACCTCCATGGCAGAGGCTCCGTCGAACCCGTGAGACTGATTCACCAAACCCCTGGTGTTCGATCGAACCCAGGTTAAGAACCACTGATCTACTCGATACTGAACCTGAACTGAATTTATTTCCAACAGTCTTGATGTATTCTTCGAGACCTGTTGTTTTTTTCCTAGATAGTGCCCTGGATGCTCACTAGTCCACAGCACCCCTCTTTCCAATTTCAGTCGAGCTTCAGGATGCTGGACTTGGGGTGGTACCCTCCCTGCGTTGCAAGGAGCTTTCTTGTCTTAATTCCAGTGGCATGCATATTTTCCAGTGGCCGGGGAATTATGCCAGCAGGGTATCTGATTACTGGCAAGGCATTGGTGTTGATGGCCTGGATCTTATTTTTGCCGCTCAGCTGACTATTTAGGATATGCCCCACCCTCCTTAAGTATTTGGCTCTGGCCACTCTCCAAGCTGCCGCCTCATGATTATACAAACCCAATTCCGTTCCATTTGGGAAATTGTGTTAAACAGAAATAAAAACAAAATGCAAATATGTGGAGGACCTATCTTAGTTCTAAATATTCTGTAAAACTTGTAGAATGTGTGTGTAAAGCACAGTACTGCATCAGGAACTCTTATGTTGCACTTTTCTTGTTATCTTAATTTCTTGTGCACTTTCTGTTATAATTATTGATGATGTTTGTTGTTTTATTGTCTTTCTGAAAATAGCCAGTGCACAGCAAAATCGTCATTGCCAACCCATGAGCCTTCAAGCAGAAATGATGGTGTCAGCGCGAATTCTTTGGTTTCCCTAAAAATTGCACTCTGTCTACAAGGCTCTCTCAACTATCTTCAATCAAGTTAGGACCTATAGATTCAAAAGATAAGCCGTGCTTTTGGTCAGTTTATCCAAAGAAAAATTATCAGAAAACCCAAAGGGCAATCAGTCAAATTCAGGTTCATTGTCCAGGTGAGCAGTTTCACAAAATAAGACAACTGACGGTATAAGATGACGATTGAACGATGAGAATTTGATCTTATCGCCACCATATTAAATCATTGAACTTTTTAGCTATTAACTTAAAATGTGGCCCGCAAGCCTTGAGTTGGATATGTAGTCAAGTTTCATAATGGAAATGGGTGTTACGAGAATAATGATCATCGTCATTAATGCACCACCATATTAGTTTGGATACAGTGATATTTTTGGATGTGTTATGGGGAAGCAGTGCATTTAGTCCTTCAGGATTTGCTATGTAGGTGTTCAAACACCCCGTAATGTATGCAACCCGAATATGCGGCAGATTGAAAGAGAATCTCACATCACAGATTCAAGATGAATGAAAACAATTCTGAGAGCAGAGAAGATTTCATTTCAAGTGCTATCAAGTGCTGAGAGTGAGATGAGATGCTTCTGGTATCACTTACATTGTGACCTTTTTGTCGGAAACACACAATTCTTTGTAACCCAAATCAATGCTAAATATATTTGTACTTCAATCATAGATTGTGAGGGCCATATTGAGATTAGATAGCAATAGAAACATTGATAATGGCCTTTACTATTGAACTTAAAAACCTGTTTAGGTACAGTACTAATTCCAGCTCTGTTCTATATTGACCGAGGAGCGTCGGCCAACAGTGAAATATTTTATGCGTGACTAAACATGGTGGAAGGAAGTGAATCATGCTCATGTTGGGACTTTTGACAGAATCGGGCTATTGCTTCATAACAAAGAAAAGTTATGCACGAAACTTTGAGGAAATCGTTATTTTGCTGTGCTTTCACCAACTTTTCCTCCTCTTTGCCGCTAATATTTAACAATAACTAATACCTAATATGTGATTTTGTTATGAACCATCAATGTTATATGAACATCTGAATAAGCGCAAAGTGGTAAATGAGGTTTAAAAGAAAAAGGGATAAAAACGTCCATCAGTATGACCTCATCAGTAATTAAGTATGTGATCTTGTGTGTAGTCATCATTTGTGGAACTTGACAATAGATACGTGAAGGAATAACAAATAGATAAAAAAGAGAAGTGTCAAAAAGAAAATACAGATATGGCTTATGCTGTCATATGTATTCTTAAATGCAGAAAATTATAGAATTTGGACTTTTAAGTGAAGATGTGGCACAACACAATATAGCATCATTTTGAACCACACTATTTCTCACTAAATAAATTGAGGCAAATTAGAGCAAGTACCCACCCCACCTCTGAGTTGCCTAGCTAGCGTTCTTGCTTTTTTTTTTTTTTTGATTTTGTTTGCTTAATGAAGTGTTTTTCTGAAAAGAAATATTGTCTTTTCTGCGTCTCTCATTTGTAAGAAACCAGTAGAGGAAGGAACAGCTTACCATTGTATTGATTATTTTAATTCCATATCCGCTTCAATCAAAAGTCAATTTACACTATTCTGATTCTGTTTGGACGAAAAGCACATATGAGCAAAATGTAATAATCAGTTTGCCTAATTAATTGACTCCACAGTAAAGTACAGCATGTAGAGGTCTCATCCGTACAGTCATGTATGTTAATCACCGACCATTCCAGGATTGTTGTGTGCCTGTGGCCATGATTAATGCACATAGCCGAGAGACTTGACCAGCACATGCAGGGTCCCACTTTTGCAATCCCAGTGGATGTAACCTACTTCTGCTGGGAAAAGACACATTCCCTGATCATTTTTACCGTCCATGCTCAGCCTTGGGTATTAAAAAAAATATAACAAAAGCTAAAAGTGTGAATATACAGTATTTAAAGTGCCTTTAAAATTTGAGGTCCTCAGATCTCACCCCATGAGACAGCCAAAGCGTTAACCCATGAACTAGGCTGCAACCTACTTTTATTGCCCATATTGAGCAGGCAGAGCTGGCAAAACTGGGAAGGTATGAGGATAATCAACGTGTGGTAATAGTGTCTTTTTTTCATGGCAATGTGATGCAACATTTAACCACACCTATCAAAGCTCCACACAGATTGTATTTGTCTATCCTATGCTTCGCAAATCAGACATATTTCCAAATTAGTGCCACCACAAACACAGTACAGTATGCTGTATATACTGCAAGCATGCACAAATTGTAGTAACTGCAGCCTACTCCTCTTTTGGAAACAAACTAAAATATTCAAAATACGATAAGATACAGAACATTACCTTCCACTTTCAGGCTCCAAAACACAATTTGTTTGTAAAAGAACAGCCAATAGATTTGTTGTTTTTTCTTGTGGTGGTTGTTGCTGTTGTTATTTTTTTTTTCTTTTTTTGTCGTTTATGGTTTGGTGCCAATTTTACATGATGCAGTCTTAATAATAACACTCAAGAAGCCTTAACACCGGCACTTGCTGAAACAATATCATCTCACGTTGTCATCGTGTGCCAATGCTATACATACAGTCAAGTGAATGATTTAATATTGATGGCGTTTATGTGTTTCTGTCACACCATGTCATCATTGTGCTTGCTTTTATCTGGGTCACCACCCGTAAGGATTCATACAGCTTTCATGAAACATTAACTGTCTCTAAGTATATTTCAGTGTTGCTGTCTCTTGAAACCACAGATGAGTTCTACTTTGAGGGTAAATTTGACACATATCCATTGATTCATCTCCTGCCGCGATTCTCTCTGGGCAGGATTTTGGCCTTTTTTTAATCAGCAGATGGCCTGTCTCACAGGCTTTTTGACCAAATTGGCTACCCCTGGCCTATATAATCTTTTAAACACATTGGTTAACTAAGCTACTCCAACTGATCGTGACTGTAACAGAATAAAAAGTTTTGAGACTGGTAAATATCTCAAATAGACAACAGGTGGATTTTGTCAGGGTCGTGATCTGTTTGTTTTTGGTTTTCAGCTCCAGCTGGGGTGGAGGGCGTTGCCTCCAGCGCCGCACTTATTGTACTCAATGTCAGTGACTAATTAAGTACTGCCATGCCGACAACGCAATGTCGGATAATTTGCCTTGGTCACGTCTCTCGTACCAAGTGCAATTCTTGAGACGTTCATGATCGTGTTCTTGTCCAAGTCATAGTTTGTTGTTATTGTAAGTAGTAGTTAAGTTTCCAATCCCTGGTCTTATTTTTGTATTCACTTGTAGTTAATTTTTCTTGTCCTTCTTAGCAAGCTATTTATGTTGTTTTGTTTATTCCTTGCCATTTGCAAGCAATTTTTGTTATTCACTGTTATCCTGGCTCTGTGTACCAGCGATCTCATTTGTACTTTGTCAGTCGTGCATTTTTTTTTTCTTTTTTGTCAATCAACATTTTTGTTTGGGATCCACTTGTATCCGGATTACTCCAGATTGTAACAGATTTATACATTAACAAATAATATATAAAGATACGTATCTTACCGAAGTGACATATTGGATGTCTCGGCACAATTTAGTTTCTCGCGGGAAGTCTGCAAGATCCAAGAAGTTGTCCACCACCACTTGCCCAATCAAATCATGGCGAGTGAACCTGTCAAAGTCATAGACACTGAAGTGCAGCTTTCGGTTCGACAGCTCGGTGTATGCCACTGGAAAGAGAAACACCTCATCAAATACTGGGTTGAGAGTCTTGCGGTGCACCTTTGTCTGGTGCTTGGTTTTACGGTCAGGCAGCAGGTAGATCTTCACATAAGGATCAGAGGTCCCAGAGAAGTCCTTGGCGGGAAGATCTTGAGCCTTATGAATCTTAACTCTCAACTGCTCCAGATCAAAGTCAAACTTAAGGATGAAATGGAGACGTCCACAGTTGTCTGTCCTGCGTCCATCATCTGTGTCCACAGAGCGCTGTTTGTAAAGCTCTGGTTTGATCCGACCTAAACCCGTCAAACTATCCTGCCGCTGGAACTGAGTAGGATTGAAGTCTGGATTGGACAAGTTCATCTGACGCCGGATGGAGTTGTGACTGTAAGGAAAGGTAACGTTTTTGTCAACAAAGGTGACATTTTGTTTCATTTGCCAACAAGTTACAGTAATTGCATAAATAAAATTATTTTGCCAAACATTATTTGAAAGTTAATCTTGGGCAATAATCATCAGCTCATCAGCAAGTCCTGTAAACTGAGGCCTGAAACATTCATGAACAGTTGAATCAGGTGTGTTGGAGTAGGGAGGGATCTCAAACAGGCAGGATATGGCTCTCGAGGAACCGGAGTTCCCTGGTTTAGACACTTTACTGAAATAATAGGGGATGGTCAATACTAATATGTTAGATATGATTCAATCATTTTTTTTTTTTTTAATATATGGGAAATAATTAAAACGCTTCTGCACTGCATTTGACATTTTCTTTTTAGGAATGACGCAGTATGTTTTAAAGTTCACGTTTATGTCCTACTTTCAAACTCCTACAGCATCACACTAGAAATAATGTGTACTGACCGTACTGACGAGGTGGGTTCAGTGATTTGTCGCTGCACTCTGTCCCGGGCCAAGGTATGGGCTTGGCCATGGTCTACTTTGGCCTGGGTCTCCAGGGGGATGTCAGGTGATGTGTGGCTGATCTTCAGACCTGACTCCGGGACAGACACAGCCATTGGGAGGCCCGATGGGTCCTTCATACAGCCGTCCTCACTGTACTCCCGATCATCCCCATCCACCTGAGGATACATATATTTGTACATAGTATGATTAACAACAGTGACACTTTTCAAAGCTTCCTGTCAAAATAATAACAGCCGCAACATAGGCATGTGAGAAACTGACTACAGTAGCCTATGCAGTGACCAAAATTAATGGTTGTTTCTCCTGGAGACTGAGTACTGCTCACCATCGATGTGGGCAGTGTTCAGATTTCAATTACACCAAATACAGTCAGTTCAGCTGCCTTCACTGCTACGATTGAAAAAATAATCTTCATTTGAATGGCCCAGAAGGTGAACGGTTAAGAATTTTACCATAATTTTATGAAACCCTACTAGAAAATTACACCACATGTCCTGCATGGCATTACTCGGGATTTCCATCTTTCATGCAGGACAACTCAGACATCATCTACTCAGAGTGGCTTTTTATTTCCTTCAAATTTTTCACTTCTTTTTATTATTTACACACCAATGAATACCAATAAGAGCAATGTTGGAAAGTATGACGAGGACCACTGTATTACATAGTGGGAAAGCAGAACTGTCCTGGCTTCTCCATAAAAAAATGAGGAGAGTAACAGAAGTATGCCACTTGCATGAAGAGACTGAACGAGTAGGCGACATAATTGAGTTGTTAGTTTTAATGTAGACTTGATTTTACACTTGTTAAAATGTGTCATAAATGAGTGAGTTTCATTTCATTATTGTATATAGCAGTGAACTCGTTTTCACATTATTCTAGTTAAAGAATCCTTAAAAAAAACAGTACAGTATTACAGTAATACTGGCAGAAACATTTTGAAATTGTGACTTAACCTCCAAGATTCTCCTATAATTACAGGTATAATGCATCTTTGCACACTTTTTGTGGACCTAGTGTTATTCAGATTTTGATAATTGTATTTTTTCCCACAAGGAGCAATTCCTTTGTAGCTTCCAATTATCTGTGATGGTTAAAGGGTAGATGTATTGTCATTGTTGTCTGTGTGACATATGGACTTTCAAATGAAGCCTCCTTTCTCTTTACCTCTATTAGAACAGGCTGTTGGTCCCCTCCCAGAAAATGTGCGCCCTTGAGGACATCTGGGAGAAATCGGCCACTCAGAGGTACCCAGCATAGCTTCCATGATACGAATAGGGAGACACTGAATAAAGCCAGACCACAGGTGGTCACCAACAGGGACAACAGGCTCACCGATACATCTGGGGATAAAAGAGAGCAAAAGACTCAGTGAACAGTGAACACTTTTCAAGGGACTAAACAGAAGCACAGAAAAACCCAACTCACGGGAGAGATGTTTGTTAGTACTCATAAGGAACAATATGTGTTACATGACCCCGTTGCGACTGCGGTATAGGTACTTAGGATGCAAGTCTTTTGTCTCATTCTATTATCACAATTGCTATATTATAAGTAAAAAGCATCAACCGAAGTCAGTTAATAATTGACTGGAGTATTTGTTAACCCTCCTGACTTTTGAATTATTTATTTTGCTGGGATGAATGGTCTCATCTATGAAGTACAATATTTTCAGACTACAGATTTCTAATTTTTTTTTTCAATGAATTATTCAGCTGTAGATCTATGAAGTACAATATTTTCAGACTACAGATTTCAAATTTTTTTTTCGATGAATTATTCAACCATAACAGAGGCTGAACTAATTTTATGAATGTCGACCATTGAGTGGTATCTAATATACATTACTGGTCAAAAGCGTTGGGGCCATAATTAGATTGACAATTTTAGCAATGACAGTGCCACGGTTCAGATTTTTCAGGTTTTTTTGTTTCGTTTTGGGGTTTTTTGCATACTCATTGCTCTGAAAGCCTGCCACAAACAAAGTGACACAGCCAAACATGACTGAACTGGACATATGCAAACAAATTACACTTGGCAGACCGAACCCACAAACTTGGTGATTAATCCTTGCACATATGCTGCAATGGAAAAACTGCAACCCCTGATGTTCTCATGAGGAAACATTTATAGACTCCACATGCTGTATACTGCAAGATCACATTTTTAAATTGAACCCAAAACAAAACACCCTTTTTGGTGGGGACATGGGTTTCTGTCAAAGCAAGGAAGAAGACCATCCTCCACCCCAAGATGCTCGCATTTGTTGCTGTTTAAAAATAAGCAGTGAACAACAATATGTGACGAAGGATTATACACATGCTATGTGTTATGTTCAATAAAACGTTTGGAAATTGACTCTGTGCTCACTGCCTTTTATTGTCAGTAGCCCTCTTTTATATCCACACCTTTCGGCAACCGCACACTTTACGGCCGTGACGTCACGCTGTTGTAACATTATCCTGTGGTTGTGGTTACATGCTACAATATGTACGTCATTCAACATATTTTTCCGAAGCAAGTCGTTAAATGTACTCTCGCCAACCACTTGCCCAATGGTCGCATGCATCCATCAAAATTCAGTCTGTCGGTGCAGGTTCTTCGGGGAGGCGGGACATGCAGCTGTCAAAGTCATGTCGACGGAGGCATTATGTGGCTGTGCGTTGTTTCTATGTTCACAAAAAGAAAAAGAAAAAAAAGACGATGGACTTGTTTCTGAATGGTGGGGAGAGTGGGATGTAGACGGTCTATTTTCCAAAAAGAACTTGACGTATTGAATTTGTTTAATGACACCATGTTTGCAAATCAGCTACTAGCTTTGCACATGGTATGAGTGCAAATGCTACGGATACTTTCCAATGTTTCCGCTTTTGTTCAAATCACTTTTTAAATGCTGTACACCACATTGTGTTTTGTGCGCCACATCCAGTTTCTCGTCATAATTAGGACGGCACTCTCTTCCTATTGGTCAATGTCGAAGAACCGACCAAAGGACAACATAGGACATGTGACACTATGCGGCAAAACGGACAAAAATTCTGACATGCCAGACAATTGGCGTCGTGGTCATGAAGCGTCCCAGACACCTAATGACCGATTGTTGAAAATGTGACACCACACAGGTTATGACATGTCAAGACAACTCAAAATCGGCTATAAGACACTACGTGTCCCCCGTTAGTGCCCCTAGTGCCGGCTGAGTGTACTGCAGGCAGTAAAATTCAGCGGCCATTAATTAAATAAATGATTACCCATTATTGATACATCTGTTATTGGACTTAAGTGCCTGTCATGTGTAATTTTCCAACCTCAGGTTGTCCATCCGTTTCATTATTTGACCTTTTTCCAATTTAGAAGGAGCTCTCTTTTTTACCCAAACAACACCAACATGACCAAGATGAACGTTGTGTGAAAGATATAGGCTGATGGAATTAGTTTTCTAAATTGAACTTCTTTCAGACTCTCCATCCATCCATCAATTTTCTGATCCGCTTTATCCTTATCCTTAAGGCTTGCGGAGCGTGCTGGAGCCTATCCCAGCTGTCTTCAGGCAGTAGGTGGGGGACACCCTGAACCGGTTGCCAGCCAATCACAGGGCAAAACGTCAAGTTTGGTCTTTGCACATGCCGTGACCAGGATTCGAACCAGAGTTGCAGCGGCCACAACGCTAGGTACTAACCGCGACACGTGGCCTTTCATTCAGACTGAAGATCAATAAAATATATTTGTTCCAATCAAGTCGGAACCCTGAATTCGACCGATGGAGCCATGATTAGCCACTGGAGTAGACCCCCTGGCCAAGTTGGCAAAGCGAGCCATTTAGCAAGTTTCTCAAGCCCGTCTCCCACTCCACTCCCCGGAAAATTGTTGGTTCAGTCTCTTTGTGCGGTTGGTTATCAAATGGCCTGCTATAAAGGATTGATAGGTACAAATGAGTACTGTATTTTGTATTGGTCGGATCATCGTGAGAAATTACTCAGTGACAGAGTGACACATTGTGGGCTTTATGGCACAGCATAATTCAAAGTCATAATCAGTGAACTCTTAAAACTGACTGCTCGCTAAGTGAATAAATATTTCAGATTTTCATGTTTCATCTCTACTCACAGTGCTATTGACAGCAAAAACATATCATTAGCTTGTTGGCACAATTGCCAGTCATTTTTGTATGCTTTGGTAAACAAGGAAAAAAAATCCCACAACAAATCCAAAAAATATGAGTCCAAATGTTTTGTCAGCATTTTTTTTTTTTTTTTTGGGTGAAGTAACGAAGCAGTGTCTAAGTGCATTCTACTCCCAATATTTTTTGATGGATTCATTTTTAGCAATGAAAGAGAAGGTATGGTATGCTTTCAAAGATATGCCGGAGGTGAAGAAGAAAAGCTGCAGGCAATGCGGTGCTCAAGTGCAAAGTCTTGTCCGGGCTGCTGAAGAAGCAAATGGAGAGAGACGGTGAAGAAATGCCACAGTTGGTTGCACTTTAGCAGGAGTTTTTAAAATGACGTAGCAGGCTAAGTCAAGTCATTCTGCAGTTCAAATGAACCAACTGCACATTCAAACTGCATTACAAGTTTTCATCTTTTAAACCTTGCACAAAAACCGGTCTATATTAAACCAGTGTTGGCCAGTATGAAATTATCTACTTTATTTGGAGGGCTTGGAAAACCTATGATAAAAGAAAAACAATAAAAAAAAATAAAACACTAGTTTGAAGACAGTTGGGGAGGATTAGTCAAGTAGTGGTTCGATCATCTGCCTCACTGCTGAGAGCTTCTGCGCTCAACTCTCAGCTCTTGTCACCTAGAGTTGGATGGATGGATGGATAGATAGAATACTTTATTGTCTAACCCCGATGGTGACAGAAATTCTTTGACAGGGCTCACAAACACATTCCCATCAAGACACATTACACAATAAAAATGAATGAATAAATAAATACATTAAAAAATGAAAATATAATACTAATGCATGTTAAAAAGTGCGGGTTGAAAAGTGCAATGTATCAGTTCAAATTGTTCATGATGGTTACAGCAGATGGAGTGATAGATTTTTTTTGTAGGTATTTTTCCGGGCCAGTAGGACTTGGTACCTTTTGCCTGTTGGAAGTAAGTGGAATGACTGATGGAGGGGATGGGAGGGATCCTCTGTGATGAGAGTGGCTTTACTCATCAAAGAGCGGTTGTACAGTTCAGACGGTGGCCTGGTGTGTTGTACACGAGAGTCTGGTTTTGTGTTTGGTGGTGGGCAACTTGAACCAGGATGAGATGTTCTATGTGAGAATGGATTCAACCAAGGGCTAAAATGTCCTTGCTGATATTGAAAGTCCTTAGATTCCTCAGTAGGTGGAGGCGCTGTTGTGCCTTCTTCTATGTGTGTGCTGTGTGAAGGATAAACAGGTGTCAATCACCGTCCCCGGGTTTTTAAAGGACTGGACCTGCTCTTGCAGCTGCCCCTGGATGCTGAACGGCTGGAAAAGAGATGGTACTTCCTTATTTCTGCCGCCACAGCACAGTTTAGCTCAAGTGAGTTCTCACTGATTCTTTTGACCGTATTGCTGACGGCCTGCTGGTACTGTGACAGAACAGCACAGCAAGTCATATGGACCCCCAAGGCTATGTCATCCCCGTATATAAAAAAGTTCCATTCTTTCACTGCTGCGAGAGATGTAATTATAGTGTATGCAGAGAAGAGGATGAGAGATAAAATACAACCTTGCCTTTCCCTTCTGTCTTGATTTCTTCCACCTTCCAAAAACATGTGCAGCCAGTTTATTAGACTCTAAATTCTTCATGGGTGTGCATGTACGTAGGAATGGATATTTGTATGTGCCCTGCCATTAACTGCTGACCAGTCAAGGCACAGATAATGGACAGATATACACCTGGCTGACCAGTCAAGGCACAGATAATGGACAGATATATATACCTACAGGGTAAAGATTATTTGGGGAATGGAATGAGGAACTGTAGAACAACTAAACATTTCCAAATACAACCCAGGCTAAAAATGTCACCTAAGATTGATCAACTGAATTTTACATTTCATCTTTGTCATACTACAATGAGTATGAATTCAAAACGAATATTTATTTTACTGACACAAAGGGAATTAGATTCAAACTCGGAGTACTCTGAGTGACACAACTGAGGTTCAAATCCAGCCGCTGAGGGGCCATGAATTGCTCTGTCTTATTGTCTTGTTCCCAAAGGATATTGCGCTAATGACATACCAGCGTAAACGCACCCACGAAGTTTGACAGCTGTGTGCAATTTGCACCTGTTCCACCCCCTGACGGCCCACATGGCCAAGTATAAATGCACGCCTTGTATCAAGAACACCGTGG